CAGAGAGCTGAATGCAGACGGAGTGAGCGTTGCCACAAGAGATGCGGAGGCGTTTGGCGAACCAAACTTCAACACCGTAATGGCCGTGTTCGTTCCGTCCAGAGCACAGCCTGATATGGCTGTGTGACTCCACTGTTTCATCCCGACGCGATCGCGTTTCTTGCAGGGCAATAACATGTGCCTTGTGATATTCAAGCTGCTCACGGAGATAAGCAGTTTTGCCTTTGAAGGCCGAGTCGGAAGCTGGGCCCGGGTCCTCCGCCGAGGGCGCAAGAGTCTGCACATTAACGGAGAAGAGACGAAGGGAAACAGTAGTTCCCTGTGGTTTGGCTGCTGAGGCATTGGTGGCAGGTAGGCCCAACCAGTCTCTGCTTTCGCCCTCAGTTGGTGGGGATGAGTCGGCGAAGCGGTCATGGTCCGTGAAGACGCTTCCTGAGTGTTGTGGCCAGGCAGCAGGATACCTGACAGAGTCCAAAAGCATCCACCACCAATTGAGGTGGCCGTGCCTCAGGGCGCTCGCAAAGGACTGCTGAAAGGCAGAGGCAGAAGGGGAAGGATGCCGAAGGGCCCACTTAGCCGCCGCATCAACAAATTCGTTAGCGGGATGGCCCATATGAGAGCGCACATGTTGTATGTCCTGGATGTGCACATCCGAGGACCGCAAGGCTTGATACAGGGCCCGGATGCCACCGGCCAAGGCACAATCTATGGGAAACCCAAAATTGCCATTCGCCTGCTGGAGCGCAACCAGACAGTCGGACCAGATATGGGCTGGGATATGCTTGGGGCCTTGTGCAAGCCAAGCCATGGCCCAAAAGAGAGCAGATGCCTCGCCACGAAGGGCATCATGACTAGTGGCGCCTATGTGGACTTCGGAGCGGGAGTCAATGATGACGTGCCCGGCGTCCCAGCCTATGGCATGCAGTTCGTGCGAGTACCATCCAAGGACAAGGAAGGCCCAGCTACTGCTACTCCCATCGAAGGAGCCATCAGTGAAGATATCCACTCGCTCAAAAGTAAACTCCGAGGATGGGGGAGTTGGCAATGGCAAGTAGAGTAGGTGCTTGACTATGGCAGACACATCTGGGAGACGGAAGGACTCCGGAATGGCACGTTTGAGGGTCCATTGTCCATCCCGAAATAGGGGGAGCACATCGTCCAGGGAACAACCAATTTGGAAGTTGACTCCCGAGATGTCGAAACGGAGGCCGTTATCAACATGTTCAGCGATGTGAAGTGTCCTGGCAGGGCCTGGGCCTCGTCCAAAGCTTGCCTGCGAGGGGTTGCTCCTGGGTGATGATCCAGCTGGAGCAACGAAAGCACTGTCGGCAAGAGCTGGCGCGTCAGAAGTCTTCGTGTCACAAGCTGCATCCTGGTGTTCCAGGAGAGTGTCAAGCAGGGTCGCGGCTAAGAAGCCCCATTCTCCTGAGGCGAAGGCGGCCTCATCTAAAAGGGTGTAGAGGTGACCCTCGTCTAACCAAAAATGGTCTAAGGGAGAAAGATTTGTCACTTCTACAACCTCGGGCGGCTGAGCGATCAGGAGATTGGTAACCTGAGCAGTATGGGAGCATGATGGGCATCGCATCCTAGGGCCAGTAGCAAGTGCCCTGCATGGTGTGGCGATGGCTCTTGGCCAGGCCGTGACCTCCTTGGAGCCCTGTAGGTCGACAGAGTGCAACGGTGGTAGCGTGCTGGGCATAGCAGCAACATAGGGGACAGCTGAAGCAGAGAGTCGTGAAAGGTCTCTCTGAACTGCCATTGCTGGCTGAGCAGCAAGGAAGAAGACTGTGAGTGCTGTAAGGAGTCTAGCTCCTGGTGCTCTATGGAGAGCAGTGACCCAAAAGAGAAGGGCATGGCATCCTCCACGGAAACACCGGAGAGGCAAAAATCCCTCAATACAGGACCGGAGGACAGGGGTGAGCCCGAGGCTGCCAAGGAGGTTGGCGTGGTGCATAAAGCAACGGGTCCACGTGACTTCTCGACGGTGCTGTGTGGGACTAATGAAATGGGGAGAGATAGGGTGTTGCGGTGGAGAAACAGCAACAGCTGGCTGAAGGAAGAGCACAACAACGAGCAAACAAATGGCTTGCAATGTGCCTGTCCGTCCACGCATGAGGAGCAGACCAAGAGCTGTGTAGGCAGCAAGGTGCTCGGTGCAGAAGAGGAGAGCCAGGGCAAGGGTCAAGATTCGGGCAGTCAACCGGAAGCTGCCGGAAGGGCTGACACCTTGATGCTTGGCAAAAAGGATGTGTGAGAGCCCGACGGCGGGGCCCGAGCCACCTGTACCTGCATCCGGAGGAGTACGGGTTTGGGCATGCGCCGCAGATGAGGGAGCGGCCATTCCAGGTTGTCCATCTGCAGGTGGCTCCTCCGAGTCACTAGAATCAGGGGAGTGGGGACTGCTGGACGAACTCGTCTCTGGAGGTCGCATGGCATCTTGCGCCTGTCGATGGGTTAGATACTCAATTGCAACAACCTCCCCGTCGGTAATGTCGAAGGGCACAAAGAAGGGTTGGACCGACTGTCCCTGTCGACTGTAACCTATGGTATGTCCAATGGGACATCGGGTCGCATATCGGGGAAGAAAGCGTGCCGGATCAAGATGCCCTGAAGGAATCCACGCCCAACTAAACCCAAGAAGAAGGGGGCGGAGGTCAAAAATGACAATGGGCGCTCGGGGGGAATGGTAAGTCAAGCCCTCCTCGAGTATGTGGGCAACCAAGATGGCCTTGGAGATGGCACCGTTGTGCATATGGTTGGGGAGAGAAGGCACAGTTGGCCTAAGCAGAAGTCTGGCAGGCGGGCAGCCCATGGTAAGGGCCAGGTCCTGGCGAACCAAATGTCTTCTGCCACGCCGGACAATGAAGGAAAAGTGTGCAGAATCTGCCAGTATCCATGAGTGATCTCTGAAATCCCCAGGGTAGGAGGCACTCGGATTCCATCCAGCAGAGTTCAGAAGCATGTCAGGCAGGTGTGTCGACACAACCACATCATGTTCCGGTGGCAGTATCAGCAGGAGGTCCGCAGTTTGGAGCAGGAGCTGCGTGTCATGTTGCATCGGCCAAGGAGTGTCATTGTGGTACACAAGAGCCTCTGTATCATCCTGGAGGCCAGCAAGCCGAAGTACATCAAGTCGTCTGATGCGTGGGGGGCAGTCGAGGGCAAAAGCACGATTGTCAAGTCTGCACTCTACGCACACCAGGACTCCAGTGGTCTCCCAAACCGGCCCCGCAATGAGTGCAGCGTGGGCAGGAGAGGTCTGTGTGAAGACTGGGATTAGCCTGGGAAAGCGGCGTCTGGGGTCAGGAAGACGAGCGGCTGAGACGTGTGCAAGAACAGCATGGGGATCTTGCGGCAGGGAAATGCGGACCCGAACAATTTCTGGAATATACTCCGGTGCTAGAATCATGAAGGGAGCATCGACAAAGGTAGTGGCAGAAGTACGACCGGATGGGTCATGGTTCCCCGGCGTCTCAGCAGTGCCAGGCGCCGCTTCCTGTTCAGCAGATTCAGCTGTGCCTGCTTGGCCTGTGGAAGCTGCACCAGCTGTAGTCTGTTCTCCAGAAGACGAGGCTGGCTGTCCTGTCTGGGGAGTATTCCCGACTGCAACAACCGCAGCAGGCATGGCGACGGTCTCGCAGAGGATGACTTGTCCAGGTTCAACTTGGAATAGGAGATCCCCAGTCGGAATCTCGGGAATGTGCAAATCCCAATCTCTTGGTACAGAGGGGCGGAGCAGGGCACAAATTTGATCAACATCGACAAATCCCCCTTGTGCTGGAAAGGCAAACCATCCGCCATCAAAGGCCCTGCAATCTAGAATGACATGGCAGTCCCTATCCCAATGAAAGGTCGGGTGTCTGACGGCTGCGGCAAGGACAGTCCTGCAGGCAATGCCATCGAGAGTGGCATCGGAAACTCTGGGCCGGGCAGGATAGATGGCTAGCTGACTCTCCTCGACACCAAGGGCCCTGGCGAGGTGCTGTCGATGTAAGGCAGGTTGGGCCTCATCATACGTGAGTAGGATGTGCTGCTGTTCACAAGCAACACAAAAGGCAACCCTGTCATCAGGAGGCAGGTCATAGTGCTGAGACCACAAGCTGGGTCTCTGGAGGAGGATGTCAATGAAGATGGCTCTGGGCAAGACCGCCGGAGACGGCACAAGTGTGAGTGCCAATCCGTGCTGTACATGCAGAGGAACATCCTCTTCCAAGGCAACCGAGGAGCCAAGGTACAGATGCACAGAACAGTGGTCTGGTAGGCCGAGAAGGTGCAAAGCCGTCCGTCTATCAAGGTAGGACGGTGCAAAGACAGCAAAGTGTCGTCCGTCCCAACGGGTCGAGTCGACAAACAGCACTTGTCGAAGGGTCGGCCAGGGCGGAGTGCAAGGAAAACCCCGGCTCCATCGAGAGTCTGTGGAGAGGCAGGCACAAGAGTGGGAAAGGTGCGGGCCTTGCGAGGGTCCCTCTCTTCCTGGATGTGCTGCATGCATTCTGCAAGTGTCGCCGGGAACTGTAGAGCGAGAACAAGCCATTCAGGTGAATAGGATGGTGTGTACACAAGAATGGTGGCCCATGCGATAGACTCAGAGTCCGAAACTTCCAAATCTGAACCAGGTTGGGGAGGTCCAAAACCGAATTCGTCTTCGTCCCCAGGAAAGGGCCAGGGGTCTCCAAAATCGCGAGTAACCCGGCGTAGAGTGCGCAGACGTTGCCGATCCCTCTCATCTCGGCAAGGTGGGCTCTCGAGGAGCTTGCACATGCGTGGGAAATGACGGAAGGGGCTCGAAGTCCCGAGGAGGAGGGCGCCTCCGAGCACGCACAGAATCACGATGAAGCAGAAGAGAGCGAAGCGCCCGTCTGGAAGTGCAAGACTGTGTGCGGGGGGAAATCGATCAGGGAGAATCGGGGAAAGCATGCAACCAGTGAAGTTCGCAGCTGGAGTCATACAGGCAGCGGCAGGACCTGGGAGGATCGCAGCACTCAGGAGTCCGCTTGCTCCTAAATGGAGTTGGGATGCCCCCTGCCCATTGCCCCGGGAGCCAGAGCGGGGAAGAGATGCTCTCCTTCTGAGTCAGCCGGTGCCGTCGTGGTATCCTGATCATCTGAGCGATGTTCTTCCTCAGAGTCTTCGTCAGAGGCCTCTGTTGTGGGCGAAAAGTGCTCCGAAGGTTGATCCGAGTCGAGGGAGTACTCGAATCCAAAGACTAGAGTAGCTCCGTGCCGGAAGTCCAGGCGGTGTCTGCGCATCCTGCCACCGCTGACTCGCAAAAACCAGCCCGGTGGGGGCTTCTGCTTGATGAGGTTGGGCAAATCTGCTCTCGGAATGAAAGGCTGTCCAAGGACAAGAAACTTGATGCTCGAGGCAACCTGGCGCAGGTCCAGGAAGACAACATATTGTGGCATCTCCGGTGGTATGAGGGTCGGCTCGACAAATGCCAAGACACCTCTGACTCCTACCCCTTGATGACAAAGTCTATTGCATCCCTCGTCAGAAGGGGTGTGAATCTCGACCGAGTCGCGGGGAACCCCTACAAATCTAGCGGCAGCCTCGTCTAAGGGGGTGTCTGTGACTAGGGGCCTATAGAGAAAGCGTCCCGTCCGGTGAAGGAGCAGGAGAGCGTTCCTTGCAGGCGCTGGGGGTGTCTGGGGATTGAGCGGCCACATAGCCGGCAGCAGACGGTATTGGAGATCCGTCGAGAAGTCGGGAAGCGTATCGTCCTGCACAAAGGTTATGACGCATCCGTTGGAGAGTGTAACCTCCTCATCTTCTTCGAGAGGTCGGATCTCAGTCCCCAGGTATACTCGGCACGGGCGCGTGCCGAAGAGCCCAGCCTGTCTGAGCAGCTCCGAGCGGCAAGTGGGCCGCGTCACATATGTTGCCAGAAGGGGCCCAGGCCCGTTTGCTTGCAGACCCCTAAGATCGAGGCAAACGGCGGAGATCGCTGCAAAAGCCGTCCACGAGGGGACGACCATAAGCGTGGCACAATTGGGAACGGGCTGGGGCCTAACCGCTAAAACCCTATCGCAAAAGGGAAGCTGTAGAACCCCAATGTGCCGTTCAGCTGCATCTAGAAGGTCCTCTATGTCGCAAGGGATGCCAAGTGGAAAATGCAGGGTCTCTGGCATAAAGCCAGGGCAGAGAACCACTACAGTGCAGTCAACATCCCGAATGTAAGCAGGCCGTGTTTGCCTCGGCTGTGTATGCAGTTCCAGGCGAACAGGCATCGGTGTGGGTGGACCTCTCGGAGGGTTGAGGAGAGGATGGACCACATCCAGGGTTGGTTCCGTGGGGAAGCCAACAGCATCCGCTAAGGGATCCGGAGGGCGGGGATAGCTCCTACTTGTGAGAGCAGAGGAGGCATGATTCGCTTGGGCCAAGAGCTCCGGAATCGCCTTGGGGGCGCTCCACACACAGATAGGAATGCTCCAGCAAAGCAGTGCTTGCAGCAGCCGGTGAGGCCATCCACCACGTACATGGTGGGCTCTAAGACGGGTGTTTGGTAGGCGCCTGCATGGTAGGGGGCGCCAGTCCAGCGAGGAACTGGAGACTGCACTAATAGAACCAAGGCCTATTAGAACCTTAGGGGAAAGGGCAGGAAATAGGTGGGCGAGATGTCTGCCAAAACCTGACCTGCGGATCCGTCCGAGCGGCTGGACGAGCAAACGTCCCATCACAAGAAGCAGGGTCCCGGCCATGAAATGGAGGTAGGGCTCGAGAGCATCAGCGAGAGGATTGCAATCAAACGGAATCATCCTCGGAGATGCCAAGACCTGTTGTTCTGACGACCAGTTAGCTTCGGTAGTTACCCCAGCGCCACCGATGTAACTTTTAGGCACCGAAGCGGAGATCGCCAAGTGTTGCCGCCTTTCAGAAAACTGGAAGGTCCACTGCAGTTGCAACCGGCAGGGGAGTGCGGCAACATCTAAGGAAAACCAAGACTCTAAACCCAAAGGGGAGTCAAGGGGACAGTGAAGGAGCCTAAACCGAAGGGGGTCGGGCAAAGGCAGACAAATGCAAGAGCGGCAGCCAAAAGAAAAGGCGCCTTGGCTCAGGAAAGGTGGCGAGGCCAGGAATGGCCCTGCACGAACCCAGTGCAGAGACATCCGAGCAGAGGAGACAATGCTCCCAAAGGGCTCCAGAATACAAACCCAGTAATCTGGAAACCCATCAGGGCATGGCGAAGGCAGGCAATCGGAGAGTGCGGTCCGAGACCAAAAGAGTCGAAGTGCAAAACAGGCAACCGGGAGGCCATTCTCTTGAAATGAAGGAAGGTGGCCTACTGACGTAGCTGAAAGCACCTCAGCGAAAATCAAGCTTCGGATGTGAGACCGCTTGATTCCACTGACATCTGCTGTCCACATCCAACCTGCGAGACATTGGCCAGGGAGCTCCTGGTAACACGGCAACCTGCACTGCCCCCGCAGCGAGGTCCCCGAGACCTTAGGGCTCCAGAGCCTGTCAGACAGGTGGAGGTAGGCAGCTGGTCCAGTGGATTCAAGCCTACCGAAGGTCACGTATCCGGTGGGTTTGTGTTCTCCAAGGTCGCCTTCACCTCCCTGCCTGTGAGTCTGGCAATTTCCTCTGGAGAAAGTGAGTGAGCCACATCCTCGTCGTCGTCGTCGTCCAGAAAGTTTGAGGCAGATGATTCCACCGATGTCGTTGCGGCCAGAAGGTTGGCAGACAGCCCGAAGGGATTCATGGCATTCCGAGGGGCTTCCATGCCAGCTTGTGCTCTCTGTCGCCTCTCCTGCAATCTGTCGGATAGCTGCGAATGAACAGGCTGAGCTGGCTTTGAGGCCCTGGTGGCCTCTTTGATGTTCATTCTTGGTGGTGCCTCGTGGGTTGGCACTCTGGGCTCTTCCATCATTCGCTGTCCTGGGTGTTTGGGTACTTGTCCCGGGCTGAAGCCAGGGGGCATCGCCATAGAGGGACCGACACCGACTGGGGGGGAAGGCGCCCCAGGTGCCATGTACGGGTCGGAAGCCGCATTGTGTTCCGTCCTTGCCATGGCCTCTGCATTCTCCTTGGCATTCGCGGTGGACATTCGAGTGGGTGGCGTGAGCGGCTGCACAGGCCGCGTCCGGAGAGGGGTTGTAACGGCTGGCGGAGGGTGCATGGCCCGGGCCAGAACCCCATTCCAGTCCGTTGTGGGAGCTTCGCCACAATTGGAAAACATCTGGAGCGTCTCCGGGTCTACCAGATCGGTGTCCATGGTACTTGGCCTGGCACTCTGGCCTGTTGTCGCATCGGCCAGATGTAACTCCCGTATGCCATGTCGAGCAGCTTCCTGTTGCTCCTCCGCCTCCTTCTGGTCGGCGAGAAGTTTTGCCATTTTCTGCTTGAAGCGCTTCTTCTCTTTGGCGAAGGCTTCCAAGGCAGAGCGTTGATACTCCATCCACTGTCTTTCCATCTTTTGCTTGGCCTGTTCCAGGCGTCCAACCTTCTGTTCGGCTCGTCTCGCATGGTTCAGAGCAGTCTGGAAGATCGAAAGGAAGTCGTTCGGAGCATGCTCGGGCTTGGGGTCCTGATTGCTTCCAGGCTTCGCATAGTCGTATCCTCCCGCATCGAAGGCAGGAAAAGCCGTCGCGGCCTGTCCATGGCCCTTCCAGTTCTCGTCTTGCCACGAGTTGTATCCCTTGTTTCTGGGAGAAGCATAGGCTCCCCGCCACAAGGAATAGGAGGGATTGCGGTATCCATGATCGTCCCATCGCGGCTCTCGCGGCCAGTAGAGTGGTGCTGGCTCAGGAGCGAGGTCTGTTTGAAGCTAAGAGGCCGGCCAATGGCTCGCAGCCTCCGCAGTCTTGAGCGTTTGGAACGCTCTCTCCTGTGCCAAGCTGGAGATCGCAACTTGCGCGCAATGGCAGCGAGGCAAAAGCGTGCAAAGCGCACTGGGGCTTTCTATTCCGACTGGCGGCGATTCGAGCCCTGCATATACATATATATATATATATACACACACACGCACAATGCAATATGTTGGTAAGCAGGGGGAAGGCAAAGCTGTGGCCGCAGCAGGAAAGTTCCAGGCTTCAAGGCAGCAAGGGTCTCTTGGTTTTAGTGCTTGTAGGCTTCAGGGCGGTGGAGGGTGGAAGGGGCTGAGACTTATCGGGGTTTAGGGTTATGAGTGCAGTATCGCATTTTGCTTCGGGTTTAGACGCAGGTCTAGATTTGTCGTCACTGCCAGAGTACAGCGCCCAAGACATTCAACGGCCTTTGTGTCCTCAACCCCAACCTGATGTCTCAACCCGAAAACACATCACCGAGGGCTGTGTTGTTCTGTTCCGGGGTCATGGTGGTCATTTTCCTGTTCGTGACACTGCTGGTCGTCCAAGATTGGCTCTTGCTGGCATCAGCACTGCTTACATCCGTTTACTGTCCCTGATTTCGGAAGGTCTTCGAAGTCCTATGCATCTAGGTCCAGGTCCAAGCAACCTCGACCTCGAGCTATAGAGGTTTCACAACCCAAGAAAAGCCCCCCGGCACAATCCGAGCTGGAAGGGCACGGTTTTTGCATCCGAAGCACATCAGACTACCAGAGAGTAGGATCCTCACTGCACGGCTTCCGAAGAGAAGAACTTCCGTTCACCTGGGGCGGTGTCAAGGAGGCAACCGAGAAGAGGCAGATCTTGCCAGTCGCAGGTGTTCCATGTTCAAACTCGCTCGCCCATTTCGTGAAACCAATGCGCTCGTCTGATTTAGCAATGCGTCGGGCCAGGACATGCCCAC